CCCCCTTCCTCCACCCCAATCCAATAAAGTGGTAATAATAATAAAACTTGAACATAGATAATAGATACAAATGCCCCCAAAAATCTGTTGAAACCGCTGAAATCAAATTAATTGAGGTACATTAAAAGCACTCAAAATAAATTATTAATTTGTTATCCTTAAAAGAACTCGAATCAAGTCAATTTGGTTGATAGCGCTCAAAACAATTCGTAACTTTGTTCTTGCTAAACCTGCTGAAATCAAGTCGTTGATTATGTTAAAAGAACCCAAACCAAGTCGTAACTTTGTTATTGTTAAAAGTAAAAATGCTGAATTCAAGTCGTTGATTATGTTAAAAGTGATCCAACCAAATTGTAAATTTGTCATTGTTAAAAGTAAAAGTGCTGAATTCAAGTCGTTGATTACGTTAAAAGCGCTCCAACAAAATTGTAAATTAGTTTTTGTTAAATGTGCTCAACAAATCAAGTCGATCTTGAAAAGCACCCTAATCAAGCGGAGTACGTGAAAAGCGCTCAACCCTAGCCATTGCGACTGTGCGAGACGCTTAGATTAAATGATTTGCTCAAGGACTGGGCCGTCGGCCGTGCGTTGATCTGACCCATCCACCGAGCTCTCTCTGGTGGCCACACTGGCGAGCCCAACCGAGGGTTTGGTAGAGTTGTCACTCCTGGAAGTCTTTGCTTCCCCCCTCTCCCCCTCCTCCTCTTCTCCGTCTTCCTCTTCTTCCTTCTTTTTGGTGGTGGAGCAACACATGCTCTTTCTGGCAACGACACAGAGAGAGAGAGAGAGAGGGGGGGGGGGGGGGACATTGAGGTGGGTGGTTGGCGGGTGCTCTGATGTGGTTTGCTCCTTCTTTACTATGAAACATCTCCCTCTCTCCCTCTCTCTCCCTCTCTCTCCCTCTCTCTCCCTCTCTCTGACAAGTCTCTCACACAAATATATTATGTAAAGTAAACAACTTTTGACAATGTGCCGTTAATAATTTTTGGTAGAGAAAGTGTTAACAACTTGATACAGAGAGTGTTAAAAATTTACTATAAAAAGTGTGTTAAAAATTTGATAAAAAATTTTTAACAATTTAGTACAGAAAATGTTAACAATTTAGGACAGAAAGTGTGAACAATTTTTAGTACAAAAATTGTTAACATTAACAACTATGAGCAGAAAGTGTTATGTTTGTTTTAGTAGAGGTTTCACGGCGCTCGCAACTAAGCTGCATAATGTCATGTGAGCGCCAGAAGATTAGAGGTGTCACAAGAGAGTAACAAACATAAAAAGAAGAAGAAGTGGGGAGACAAGGACGATAGATGTTTGATAGGAAAGAAGGAGCAAACCACACAAGAACACCCGCCAACCACCCACAGAAAGTGTTAACGACAATTACTTTTTGTTGGCGGTGAAGTAGAGGAGAAGCAGAACAGCCCCGAAGAAGGCCACGCTCAGCGGGTACTCCCACATGACAGTGTACCTGGACACCACCTGGTCCTCGTCGTAGCACTTGGCTGGAGGTTTATTCAGTCATTTGTTCATTAATTTTAATTCATTCATTCATTTATTTATTTATTTATTTATTTATTTA